CCCCAAAACCCCAAAACCCCAAAACCCCTTTACGCTAATTTTAATGATTTCAATTGTGAATTGATAAATAGTAAATCGAGTGTAACTTGCTCGGAATAGAAATTTTAATATTTTTATCAATAAACAGAATAAATAATGGCCTAGATCTATCATGTGGAGAATGGATATTACGAGCGCTCAGCTTTCGTATCCAGCAAGATCTAATATTCCGCTCTCTAATGGCAGTTCTTTAAAAATTTGAAGCAAAACGATCACGAGGAGAATAATAAGTTTAAGTCCTCCTGAGCAGACTTGCTTGAGAACATTTTAAAGGGATCTGAAGAGGAGATAAGTCGCAACTTTGACTAGAAAATGAAGAAGTCCCTGGACGAGGACTCAGGAGAGTCCAGTGACAAGGATGGAGAGGATAAAATGCAAAGAGATTTCATGGATAAAATGCGCATGACTGGGCAGAAGTTTAATATGGACGAGTTTAAGCAGTTTTTAAGGCAAGCTAAGCATACGGAGAGGAATAGTTCAGTCGTAAGGTCAATTAATATAAAGGATGATAAAAACAGAGATTATTAAGATGTCTCTTCAGGTATTTTTCCATCTTTAGTCCCACTGACTACTAAGAATAGCTACAATAATTATCAAGCCATTATGAGGAATACCAGCGATCATGATAAAAAAGCTTTTTTCCAACAGCAGGCGAAATTGAAAAGCATGGAGTTCAGGAAACTCATTCAAGCCAAATATAACAGAGCACCAAAAATGATTGGAACTCAATTCACGCTAAATTCAGATGATTCTTTTGATACCAATTTACACAACTAATCTAGGGATTTCATTGGGAATAATGATCATATGAAGGCCAAGCTTTTAAGATCAAAACTTGATAAGATTAAATTTCAAAATGGATCAGAAGATCCTGTCCTTAAAAAATTTAAGCTTAGAGATATCGAAGCATTTCAGCAGTAAATTGAGGACAAGCTAAAAATCAAGGAAACTCTTAAAAAGATTAGGCAGTCCCGACCTAGTCTTATTTCTAAAACTATTAGTCTTAACAATAGTGTTAATTAAAACAATAATAGCGGCTCTCTTAATAATAATAGCTTGACTAATGATGATTATCAGCAACAAATTACAGGCTCGTTTATCACAAATCGAATAAAGATAAATCAATCGCCATTAAACTAGAGCAACAATAACATTAAGATCAAGAAATTCACCAAAAAGAAAAACCGCAATAAGGATGATGCTAAATTGTAGTCAAACTCAGATCTAAATTCAATACAAATTATTCTAGATGATTTTGCTTTTCATCAGAGTAAGCATGGATAGGTTAGAAAAGTGAAGCAGCTTGAATCCTTGAGTCTAAGATAATACCAGGAATCACCCCTTGGATTAAGTAATATAAATGAGTCAAGTTCACCTAAGAATAACTTAAATAGATCTATGCATCAGTCTATAGACAATACTCAGGATTCTAGATTGTAAATGCCTTCAATTTCCTCATATGATAATCAATCAAAGATGAGCGAGTACTTCTACATACATCAGTCCCACTAAAATTTATCATTATTGGGGAACAATTAAAATTCTGAGAAGCCTCCCTCCATCCTCGACAACTATGTCTTCAGGATATAACCCCTAGAAAAATTGAGACAAAAAGATTATAACATATTTGAGGACGTGGCAAATCAAACAGTGATCCCTGTGAAAATCGATATAACAGAGGAGGAAATCTAAAGAGCACAGAAGTCTGAATTCTTCAAGAGTTTTGCTAAGTCTCATAAATAAAAAGTAGACAACTCCTTAAGGATAGTGGAGCATAATCTTGGCGAAAATACAGCTGAAGTCACCAAATAATGTCAAGACTATGTGAAAGGAAACAGCCCAATCAAAATGTCTAAAATGAGGCAAAAAGTGGTTATTAATAAGCCTGCATTGAATCAAGACTTACCACCCTATAGCCCCTCCTAGAAGGATTTACTCATCAAAAGATGAAGCTAAGAGTTATTATAATAATCATTAAATCTATGGTATATTTATATAAGTGAGTAAAATTCTCAGGTCATATCCTCTTAATTTAATAAATGCATAACTTTAGATATTTCATCTTGCAGGGGTTTTGGGGTTTTGGGGTTTTGGGG